GGAGAATCACGTGAACCCGGGAGGCAGAGGTTGCAGTGGGCCAAGATCACACCACTGCAGTCTAGCCTGGGTGACAGAGCGAGACTCCATCTAAAAAGAAAAAAAAAAAAAAATTCCCAATGTAGTTAAGTGCAGTGGCATGACTCCTTGGATTTGAAAAATAATCTTATCTTCAAAAGTAAAAATTCTGTATTTTGTACTTATTGACATTCTGAGTAAGAAATTGGCCTCAATGTAATAAAAATGCAAGGGACAGCTATCTTAAGGGATATAACTTCTTCAATTCTTTAGAATTATAGAGAAATTATGAAGAAGGTATAGAATTATTTTTAGAAGGTATGTTAAAAATACTGAACAAATAAATGCCTTATTTCCTCTAGGAAATCCAACAAAGATGTATGAAGTGGTCTACCAAATTGGAACTGAGACTCATTCAGACTTCTATGACATCGTCTTGGTGGCCACTCCACTGAATCGAAAAATGTCTAATATTACTTTTCTCAACTTTGACCCTCCAATTGAGGAATTCCATCAATATTATCAACATATAGTGACAACTTTAGTTAAGGGGGAATTGAATACATCTATCTTTAGCTCTAGACCCATAGATAAATTTGGCCTTAGTACAGTTTTAACCACTGATAATTCAGATTTGTCCATTAACAGTATTGGGATTGTGTCCTCTGTGAGAGAAAAGGAAGATCCTGAGCCATCAACAGATGGAACATATGTTTGGAAGATCTTTTCCCAAGAAACTCTAACTAAAGCACAAATTTTAAAGCTCTTTCTGTCCTATGATTATGCTGTGAAGAAGCCATGGCTTGCATATCCTCACTATAAGCCCCCAGAGAAATGCCCCTCTATCATTCTCCATGATCGACTTTATTACCTCAATGGCATAGAGTGTGCAGCAAGTGCCATGGAGATGAGTGCCATTGCAGCTCACAATGCTGCGCTTCTTGCCTATCACCGCTGGAATGGGCACACAGACATGATTGACCAGGATGGCTTATATGAGAAACTGAAAACTGAGCTATGAAGTGACACACTCTTTTTTCCCCTCCTAGTTCCAAATGACTATCAGTGGCAAAAAAAGAAGAAAATCTGAGCAGAGGTGATTTTGAACCAGATAGTTTGCCATTATCATTGTTTAATAAAAGTAATCCCTGCTGGTCATAGGAAAACACACGGTTCTAATTAAGTGTGAAGGTATAGCTATTGCACTTATGCCATCTCAAAGTATTCTTTTACTATCCATTAGGAGTTCTTCTTAAACTTGTTTGATAACAAGAATCACCTGGAGTTAGGAGGTGGCGGTTGCAGTGAGCTGATCGTGCCACTGCACTCCAGCATGAGCAACAAGAGCAAAACTCCATCTCAAAAAAAAAAGCAAATAAAAATAATCACCTGAAGTTTGTTAAACCATATGGATTCTCAAGCTCCTCTCTTGAAGATTCTGATTCAGTAGGTCTGGGGTGGGGCCCTGGATTTTGATCAAAATTGTAGAACATTTTAAGGTGAGTACCTGAGGGAGAACTTAAAGATGTCTTAGTTGGGGAGTAGTCCTTTTGAACTTTACAGGTAGATGTAATCTTCAGTCAGATAAAATTTATGGGAGCTGGTGTCTTATGCCTGACTCTTAGTAATCTCATACCTGTTTGAAGTACATGTGCCCATGCCTAAAGCCTTGACTTTCAGAATGTTGTCTTTTGATTATTCTGTCTTGATTTGATTAGGGGTGAAATTTAGAAGTCTTAGTAATGTAACTTGAAGATGTTAAACAAAAATCTCAAGTAAAATGAAAAACAAATATGGGCTACTGAATTAAGAAACTGGCATTCTATTATTAAATCCTCACTTCAGGAGCTTTTAAAAATACGGAGAGACCCCCGTAACTAGAGATTTAGATTCAAAGATTGAGGATAGGACCTTAGCCTTGTAGCTTTTTAAAGTTTCTAATGTGCATCCAGGGTTGAGAATCATCAATGTGGGTGTGAAAATGCCTACAAAGGAGTTTTAGTGCCTTAGAAGTCCTAAGAAACCCAATCTGTATCAAAGCAGATCCATTTTGCAAGGATCCTTCTCTTAGTAAGAACTTTAGAAGTAATCTTGATAAGAAGCACAGACAGCCTAACAGTTGGCGCTAGAACAGAATACTTGGAATGACACCAGAGTTAACCAAGTCCAGCATATGTCCAAAGAGTTAAGTGTTTCAGTTACTGTAGCATTCTGGGTGAGAAATTGGTTGCTGAAATCTTAAGACAGTGGCTCTCAACCTTGGCTGCACATTGGAATCACCTGTAGGGTTTTAAAGCATCCAAATGGTAACTAACATGCAGCCAAACTTGAGAACTAGTTCTGCATCTACTGTACAAAGATCATGATTAACTGTCAAGACACTGGTAGAACAGAACAAGCAAAAGATTAAGAATTCAAAAGTAAATGCAACCAATTTAACATGTAATGTTATTAAAAAAAAATAAAACGCTTAGATCAGCCTGGGCAACATGGTGAAACCCCATCTCTACAAAAAATTTTCAAAGTTAGCCAGGCATGATAATGCACGCCTGTGGTCCCAGCTGCTCAGGAGGCTGAGGTGGGAGGATCACTTGAGCCTTGGGGGTCGGGGGTGCGGGGAGTTAATAATCAGCCACTGTAACCCAGCCGGGGAAAAAAAAACCATTAAAAAAAAAAAAAAAAAAAACCCCTCCATTGAATAGAAACTTAAAAAAAAAAAGTCCTTCATAAGATCATGGCATTAGCTACTTTAGCAAAATAGTGTTAACTTTGGTTCTGAGTAAAAGTGACTTCTTCCCTACCACAGTTGTGAATGTTAATATGCTGATAAAACTGCCAAGATATATTTGATAGGTAGGGGATTAAACTCATGGTTTGTCAAAAGGGTGTTTTTTTCTAGTTTTATTCTTAACAGATATGTTGAGGTAATCATATTTGTTTCCTTTTGTGTTTTAAGACAATTTGTAAAGAATGTAATACTGTTATGTATATGCTAAATATTGGTAAATACTAATTTCTATCATATGTAGACTTGTTTTGCAATGAGATATATTTTTACTTATTATACCAATTTAGGCTGGGTGCAGTGGCTCATGCCTGTATTCACAGCACTTTGGGAGGCCAAGGCAAACGGATCACGAGGTCAGGAGATCAAGACCATCTGGCCAACATGCTGAAACCCCATCTCTACTAAATATACAAAAATTAGCTGGGCGTGGTGGCGCACGCCTGTAATCCCAGCTACTTGGGAGGCTGAGGCAGGAGAATTGCCTCAATCGCGAGGCGGAGGTTGCAGTGAGCCGAGGTTGCACCACTGCAGTCCAGCCTGGCAACAGAGCAAGACTCCGTCTCAAAAAAAAAAAAAAAAAAGAAAAAAAAACCTTTAGGCTGGGTGTGGTGGCTCACGCCTGTAATCCCAGCACTTTGGGAGGCCGAGGCGGGTGGCTCTCTTGAAGTCAGGAGTTTGAGACCAGCCTGGCCAACACGGTGAAACCGTCTTTACTAAAAATACAAAAATTAGTCAGGCATGGTGGCGCACGTGTGCCAGTAATCCCAGCTACTTGGGAGGCTGAGGCATGAGAATCGCTTGAACCCTGGAGATGGAGGTTGCAGTGAGCAGAGATCGCACCACTGCACTCCAGCCTGGGCAAGAGTGAGACTATGTCTCAAAAAAAAAAAAAAGAAAAAAAAAATTAAAATGTTGCTGGTATTACATCAAACCTACTCTGGATAAATTTTCCAGTAGGGCATGTGAAATTGCTTTGGCAAAACCAACACAGGTTATCAATACACCAAGGACATTAGTAGTTTTAATGCAACTACAGTATTGAGTACTTTTTTAATGGGAGAAAAATTCTAGCAGAACCTGCTACTCCAGGCGCATTAGGTAGTTTTAGGCAACTGTAGTATTAAAGAAGAGTTTTATTGGAAGAAAAACCACTGTCAGAGCTTGCTGCTCCAGACCACTCTTTTTTTTTTTTTAAATAGAAGAGACTGGTAAAAATGATGCAGGGGCTGAATGAAAGCCAGCTCTGCTCCAGTGGTTTTCTGAGTTGAGCATGCATCAGTTACCTGAAAGGCTTGTTAAAACATTGCTAGGCTCCACCCTGTCTATTCAATAAGTTTGTTGTGGGACATAAGAAATTGCATTTTATTAAGTTCCCCGGTGATGCTGCTGTTCTACTATAGGAACCACACTTGAAGAACTAGTTCTACAATTCAGCTCTATGTTGTTGCTAAAATAAAATAAAATAAAATAAAATAAGTCAACGAAGATTTACAAAGAGCTGCTGAAAAATGGAGTAACAGTGTATGGGACTTCATATCAGTTCTCCTTATTGTGATTGTTAGTTTGATCTCTCTTGTTCTTTTGTTGTAAACATTTTCTATAATTAGGAAATGCCATTTAAGAGTGAGAGAGGTATATATCTGTGAGCCATTGTGTTTGGTGTTTTACAAGAACTTTACCATACTTGTGTGTATTCCATTCTGTACAGTTTAAAAATGATTCACGATTTGCAGGCTTTTTATCAGATCACAAAAAAAATCAGCCTTAAGCATTTGCTTGGTAAGATTTCTTAAGATTAGGTTTATAATACAACCATCTATAATGTATCTCTTGTTTGAGCTTGTGGGCCATACAGTTCATTAACTAGGTGAATACATTGTGGACAGCATCCTCGCTACCCTCCTCTAATCACAAAGAACCACGATACACTGGAATGTTTTTCTCTGGAATCCTCTTTCTACTCTTGTATTAAAAATTTTCCCCACTTAATGATTATGTTCAAAATAAACTACATCATTACTTCCTGTCTTTTCTTCTGTTGTACTATATTTGGAATGTAGATGTACTTGGGAAAGTCAGACTAGATCAAAGTTACTATTCTTAAGTTTTGAAAATTAGTGTTTTAGAAGAAACTCATTCATGTTTGCAACTTCTTTATCTGTTTAGTGTTGAAAGATAGACAAAAGGAATCCTTGCCATGTTTCACATTTAATAAGATTCTTCCACTTTAATGCATAAAACCCTTTGATATCAGTGTCAATCAGGAAAATTCATGTTAGAAAAAATTGGAATGAGAGCTAATATTCTATATTCAGAACATTTGAGAAAGCATTTTTGACTATTACAAAAGTTTATTTAACAAAAAGTCTAATATGAAAATGTGTATGACCTAATTTCCCTATGGAGAGAGGACATGGGTTTCTCTGCTGAACAGCCATTATTTATACTCGTTCCAAGGCTTCTAACATGATGATACTATTTCCTCGTATTACCTAAGAAAGAGAAAAATAAATTTGAAAAGAACTCATGTAACAACATAACTATGATGATTTAAGAATTTTCACCAAATCATTAATGGTTTTTCAATACTACATGTCAGTTTGTTTTGTAAAGCTTGTTCAAGCCAAAAGGTCACCAAACAACTCTAAGCCCTTTGTAAGACCGACATCTTCTAGATTTAAGGCTAACAATTAGCTTTGTGAGATTCTAATGCCAAGTCTCCAATGACTTAATTTCACCTTTCTTTTTTTTTTTTTGAGTCAGAGTCTCACTCTGTTGCCCAGGCTAGAGTGTAGTGGTGCAATCTTGGTTCACTGCAGCCTCTGCCACCCAGGTTCAAGCGATTCTCCTGCCTCAGCCTCCCAAGTAGCTAGGATTACAGAAGCCCCTCTACCACGCCCAGCTAATTTTTGTATTTTTAGTAGAGATAGGGTTTCACCATGTTGGCCAGGCTGGTCTCAAACTCCTGACCTCAAGTGATCTGCTCACCCTAGTCTCACAAAGTGCTGGGATTACAGGTGTGAGCTATCACACCTGGCTCTAATTTCATCTTTTAAAATGCAGGACTCTAAATGCCCATCCCTGACTCTATGGGATCCAAAAATTAATGAGTAAAATATGTAGAGTAGAGTATGTTAGGTACAGTTTGGAGGTATAAGATCATTTAGGGAACAAACCAGGATGGGAAATTGTGAAAGGCATGCTTTATGAAAATGACATTTTACCTGGGTCTTGAAAATTGGGTAGAATTTTGAAAAGGAGATTTTAGGAAATTCTAGACAGAACTGAGATGAAGACAAAGTATAAGAGGATAAGGAAGTAATCTAATTTGAATGCAGTAAAAAGTTCATGAAAAGAATCAGGAAACAAAGATACTTGGCACTCAATCTTGGAAAGCTTCAAATGCCAATCTTAGTGTTTGGAGGACATCAGAAACTAACAATGAGCCAGTGAGAGTTTCACATTTGGGGGAATGACAATCATAAGTGTCCTGGCAACAAGATATTAAATACACCAAAGTTTGAAAATGACAGAACCTAGAGGCAGAAAGGTTATTAAAAAAGGGCCCTAGGAGAATAGTGCTTGACCTAGTAGATAAGCCATAAATGAAGATAAGAATACTTATCAGGGGGTGCAGTGTCTCACGCCTGTAATCCCAGCACTTTGGGAGGCCAAGGTGGGTGGATCACCTGAGGTCAGGAGTTCAAGACTAGCCTGACCAACATGGAGAAATCCCATCTCTACTAAAAATACAAAATTAGCTGGGTGTGGTGGCACATGCCTGTAATCCCAGCTACTCAGGAGGCTGAGGCAGGAGGATCACTTGAACCTGGGAGATGGAGGTTGTGGTGAGCCAAGATAGCGCCGCTGCACTCCAGTGTGGGCAACAAGAGCAAAACTGTCTTTTGTCAAAAAAACAAAATCAAAAACAAAAACAAACATCAGAGTATAAATGAATCAGCTGGTAAATGAATTCAAGAGGGGTAGAAAAATAAGTGAAACAGGAAGGCTAGGGGACTAAAAACAAGAAGTCCCTAATAGACCGTAGATCATAATAATCGATAGATCACCCATCAGTCAAGTAGAACTGGATAGGTGAATGGAGGGGTACAGGAGGAAAAGGATAAGTAATGTAATATTTTTGAGGTGTTTATTAGAAATGGAGGCATTCTAAAAAGATTCAAACTGGAGCTATACTTATAGGCAGCTAGAGTAAAAGTAGTTGTAACTTGTTCTTTTCTCCCCGTATCATGCTTGTTTTATTTACACATACACTGTAATTTATTGTGTTCTCCATGCAAATGTAAATTTTATGAGGCCAGGGGCTTTGGTGCAAAACCCTAGTGCCTAAAATAGTAGCAGGCACACAGAGGGCTCAAGTACCTGGTAAATACGAATCAAAGAACTCACATGTGAATACTGCAGCTGACAGAATAGAAGGGAACACAACTGGTAGGAAAAGTGTCTTGGAACCTGGCAGCCAATTATCAGCAATAAGTATGATAAGGTAGTAAAGAGCAGATTTAAAAGAGAATGGCTAGGCACGGTGGCTCACGCCTGTAATCCCAGCACTTTGGGAGGCCCAGGTGGGCAGATAGCTTGAGCCCAGGAGTTTGACACCAGTCTGGACAACATGGTAAAACCCTGTCTCTACAAAAAATACAAAAATTATTTGAGGGTGGTGATGCACACCTCTGTTCCAGCTACTCGGGAGGCTGAGGTGGGAGGATCAACTTAGCCCAGGGAGGTTGAGACCACAGTAAACCAAGCTCCATGCTACTGCACTCTGGCTTCAGTGACAGAGTGAGACCTTGTCTCAAGCCAACAACAAAAACCAGTAAGAATACAGCTCCCCTCCATTTTTTTGAGACTGGGACTAGCTATGCTGACCAGACTGCAGTAGAGTGGCTATTGACAGGCACAATCACTGCATACTGCATCCTCAAATTCCTAGGCTCAAGTGGTTCTCCCTCCTCAGCCTCTTGAGTAGCTGGGACTACAGGCGCACATCACCGTGCCCAGAATAAGCCAGGAGTAGAAATATGCTTACCCAGTTATCAGAATTTTATTTTAATTATTATTATTATTATTTTGAGACAGGGTCTTGCTCTGTCAACCCAAGCTGGAATGCAGTGGTTCTATCACAGCTAACTGCAGCCTTGACCTCCTGCGCTCAAGTGATCCTCCCACTTCAGCCTCTCAAGTAGCTGGGACCAGAGGCATGAGCCACCAAGCTGGGCTAATTTTTAAATTTTCTGTAGAGACAGGGTCTCACCATGTTGCCCAGGCTGATCTCAAACTCCTAGTCTCAAGTGATCCTCCTGCCTTGGCCTCCCAAAGTGCTGGATTACAGGTGTGAGCCATTGCACCTGGCCAGTTATCAGACTTTTAAATTCCCTACTTTTTTTTTGGCAACAGATATTGAACATCACATCTCACTGACCAAAGCAAGAAAAGTTAGTCTTCCTGCCTACCTCCCTGCTAAATTTACACACTTGTCTTGTCAGATATTATTTAGAAAATAAGGTTAGATGGTGAACTTTGTCCCATCTTATCTGTGGTCCAAAAACATTAAATGTATAATCCCAGAAACAGACAATCCATAAGTTTTACATTGCATGCTGTTCTGAGCAGTGTGATGATCCCTCACAGTGTGATGATACTGTCCCTGGATGTGGATTATCCTTTGTCTAGCATCTCCATGCTGCCCATTAATCAGTTATCTCAGTTTTCTGACTGATTGTTGTGCTATCAAAGGGTTACCTGTGTTCAAGTAACCCTTATTTCACTTAATAATAGCCTGAAAGTATAAGAGCAGTGATGCCGGCAATACAGATATGCCAAAGAGAAGCTGTAAAGTGCTTTCTTTAAGTGAAAAGGTACAAGTTCTTGACTTAATAAGAAAAAGAATCATATGTTGAGACTGCTAAGATTTATGGTAAGGACGAATCTTCTATCTGTGAGATTGTGAAGCAGTAAAAAGAAATTCGTGCTGGCCAGGTGTGGTGGCTCATGCCTGTAATCCCAGCACTTTGGGAGGCCAAGGCAGGTGGATCACGCGGTCAGGAGTTTGAGACTAGCCTGGCCAACATACTGAAACCCTGTCTCTACTAAAAATACAAACATTAGCTGGGTGTGGTGATGTGTGCCTATAGTCCCAGCTACTTGGGAAGCTGAAGCAGGACAATCGCTTGAACCCAGGAGGCAGAGTTGCAGTGATCTGAGACCACACCTTTGCACTCCAGCCTGGGTAACAGTGAGACTCTGTCACACACACACACAAAATTTGTGCAAAGGGTTCACTACTATCTGTGGTTTCTGGTACCTACTCTGAGGACAAAGGAGGCCTACCGTAGTGCTATTCCTCTTTGCCACTGTGTTTGAGGCCTAATTCTTCAAATCAAACTTGAACCATCAGGTCCAGAATTACATGCTGCTCCTTTTGTTGTGCTTCAATGATGCTACAGAAGCACAACTCTAGCAAGAGTGCCTGAATTATGTAACATAATAAAATGTAAGATAGAGGCGATGCCACTGACAACTCTGGGGATGTCTCAGAAAATAGTTGAGATTGGGCCGGGCGTGGTGGCTCAAGCCTGTAATCCCAGCACTTTGGGAGGCTGAGACGGGCGGATCACGAGGTCAGGAGATCGAGACCATCCTGGCTAACACTGTGAAACCCCTCCTCTACTAAGAAATACAAAAAACTAGCCGGGCGAGGTGGCGGGTGCCTGTAGTCCCAACTACTCCGGAGGCTGAGGCAGGAGAATGGCATAAAGCCAGGAGGCGGAGCTTGCAGTGAGCTGAGATCCGGCCACTGCACTCCAGCCTGGGCGACAGAGCGAGACTCCGCCTCAGAAAAAAAAAAAAAAAAGAGAAAATAGTTGAGATTTATCATTAGGTAATGATCCAGCTGACAGGTTAAAAACAAACAAACTCCTGAAAACACACATACATCCTTTTTCTTTTTGAGACAGGATCTCGTTTTGTCACACAGACTGGAGTGCAGTGGTGTGATCTCAGCTCACTGCAGCTTCGACTTCCTAGGTTCAGGTGATCTTCCTGCCTCAGCCTCCTGAGTAGCTGGGACTACAGGTGCACACCACCACGCCCAGCTAATTTTCTAAATTTTTTGTAGAGATGAGGTCTCACTATGTTGCCCAAGCTGATCTTGAACTCCTGGGCTCAAGAGATCCTCCTGCTTCAGCCTCTCAAACTGCTGGGATTATAGATGTGAGCCACTGTGCCCAGCCAATACACACATAACTGCAATAAAACAGTATTAAGTAATTTCAGTGGCCTCAATGGATCACTGACTTGGACAAGGTAATATTGAAACCAACTGTCCTTTGTCAAACAACTTCTAACAAAATGAACAAAATCTTAACCTATTTGTTTCCCTTCTTCCAACTTTAGAAAAGTCAAAAAGTTCATCTCTGTTCTTGCCTTTTAAAATGTCTTTTTATTAAAGAAGACTGATGTATTATTATTTCTTTTTCAAAGTGAAGACTCAGCAGCAAGAATCATTGTCTGTTGATGAAAACTTTTTTTTTCTTTGGCTGGGGGTTGGGGGTATGTGTGTCACATAAACCTCAGAGATGGAAGAGGAGGCTGCCCAACACACTAAGTAGGTAATCATTACTTAAATGACTTGGGATGGCAGTGCTTTCAACTAATTTCTGTGCAAAGAAAATTAAGTCCATAAAGTTTTGGGGGAAAATTGACAGAGGGATGCTCTATTCCTTCTCTGATAAAATTCCAATGAGCAGTGTGTTATATAATTCTCTAATCTTCTCAAAGCAGAATTGACAATTAGGATTCCTTCCTGAATCCTTTTCAGCAAATTTGTTGCAAGGAACTAAAAACCGAATCCAGCTTCTATTAGAATGAAAATTTATTTGTAAAAATAAGGGCTTAGAGGAAAATCTTGGGGTATCTAGAAAGTGTTTTTATAAGGACTTGTCTACTAATGATGCTGGCAGCCTTATTCAACAGAAGCTCACAAGGGAATATACCTGAAAGTCAATTTACAAGGAACTTGGAGGTACAGTGTGGTATCTGGAGACTCTTAAACTGTTTTTTCAGTCATGACTATCGATTTGCTTTTCAAAATATAGTAATGAAAAAGTATCTGAAATAAGTATCTGAAAAAAGTATCTGAAATAAGTAATAACACAAACCTTAGAAAGAATGGTATGTACAAAAATTAAACAGTCAGAGATGTCAAAATAGGTCTATCTTCAACTGTACTGCTCAAACTTAAAAATCAAGGTTAATAAATCAAGGCTAATAATTAGCAACTCTTAACACTCCTTGGAGGTCTTTATGCTTAATCATTTGCTAAAAGTAAGTTGTCCTTTTTGGCTCACCTTTTTCAATAGCTTTGGGTCTACCACTTTATTAGGTATGTTGTCCTGTGTTGGACAAAGAAGGACTCAAAGTGGGGGTATCAAAACTCTTCTTCAGTAATCGCTAAAACTACAGCCCAATGAATGTAGGAATGTTTAATCCTATGAGGGCTCAGTATGTGCTTTTTAATTTTTTCCTGCTTTTTCTCTCATGTGAATAACTGTCACTGTGATTATCCCTTGTAACATTTACCTTGGCTACCTTAAAATTTTGGGTATGGTAAACCAGAAAACCCAGGTTAACTGTGTATACAAGTAAAATCAGAAAGTGTTATCTGTGAACTGGCAGATCTGCATTAGGCATTGGCAGAAATGCAAAACCTTAATAAGTTCCGCCCCACACCTACTGAAGTAGAATCTTCATTTTAACAAGATTCCCTGGGGATTCATATACATGTTAAGGTTTCAGAACTCCTGCTCTAATGAAGGACCAACTATGAGCCTCTATTGTAGAATAAAGCTCAAAAAGGATTTCCAACAGCTATTTCAAGCCCTAGGATCTTAGGTTCTGTATAGTTGAGATATTACCTACAGGTAACCAGGATATTACCACATCTGAGTAACTGCCATATGTTCAACTAAAAAGGAGATGGAAAGTCTAATCTTGCCTATTATTTGCCATTTCTGGGGGTTACTAACTAGGAAAGTTAATACACATTCCAAAAGAAAAATGAAATATCCAAGAGAAATCCTGTATCTTTACTCACCACCATTCCAATATTGTTCTGTTGCCCACTAGTTGCCATCTCCACACATTCATCTATCACAAGGTTCATAAAGGGATCAAATCCCCGCAATATTCCTTGGACATGTCTGCCACCATTTAATTTCACTATTAAAAAGGGAAAAAGACGTTTTAGATAAACTGTCCATTAGCTATCAAGCATTCACTAGAAATCAGGTGGGATAAAACACAAGTATTTGAGATGTTTGACCCACTATCCTTACTGTATGCCAAGAACTGGGTTAAACATTTTTGTATTTACTTCCACATTTTAATTTATAAGAATCCTAAAAAGTAGTATTATCCTTACTTTATTGGACAGAACTAAACTTTAGAGCTTTTTAAAATTTTTATAAAGATGGGGGCTCCCTATGTTGCCCAGGCTGGTCTCCAACTCCTGAGCTCAAGGGATCCTTCTGCTTTGGCTTCCCAAAGTGCTGGGATTACAGGTGTAAGCCACCGTGCCCAAGCTTTTAAGTAACTGGGTTCATGGTTATACAGCTACTGTATGGTAGAAGTGAGACTCAAGCTGAAGGCTGCTTGCTTCTAACACTCGCGGTTTTTTCCCCTACACATATTTCAAGTACTGCGTGGGTCAGATTTTTAGATAAATTGAACAAATCTGTTATTTCTACATATTCCCAAGAAACAAAATAATTGTTCCTTGTCTAAGTCCTTTGTAGCTTATTTAAAGAAAAAAGGTTGATAAATCCTATTAATTTTGCCAGAGTGAGGAAAGGCTTATATAAGATAAAGTCTGAAGTGCTGTTAAATTAATTCAATATCAGAAATTAGGTAAATAAAATTGTCAAGTTAGGATTAAGTAATCTGTTTAATTAATGGATGTGAATTAGAGGTCCTGTGCGCTTTAAATTTTTATAAAGTTGCTCCAAACATATTGTTAAGACACATGTAAAAAGCAACTGAATGACTTAAACTCCAAAACAACAACAAACTTACATGATAACTTCTTGTCCATAAATCTGAAAAAGGAAAAGGGTAAAGATTATATAACCAATTAAAAAAATTTAAGCATAAACAAGTACATAAATACAGTTAAGATAATTTGCTAAAATTTATACAATGGGAATAATGAAATTTAAAACAGTAAAAATACTGTATTGCTGTAAAGAGTGAGGGAGTAGGGCGAGGTAGCTCATGCCTGTAATCCCAGCACTTTAGGAGGCTGAGGTGGGTGGGCTGCTTGAGCTCAGGAGTTGAGACCATCCTGGGCAACATGGTGAAACCCCATCTCCACCAAAAATACAAAAATTAGCTGGGGGTGGTGGCACGTGCCTATGGTTCCAGCTACTTGGGAGGCTGAGGTCGGAGAATCACTGGAGCCTGCGAAGTTGAGTCTGCAGTGAGCCATGAATGCGCCACTGCACTCCAGCTTGGGCAGTAGAGTGAAACCCTGTCTCAGGTTAAAAAAAACACAGGGGGGGCATAAAGGGTTACCTAAATTAGACATTCTACGATGCAAAGTAACTTGGGAAGAGGAAAGACAATAAAAATGAAATATATTTAAACTACATTAATCTACATTAAGTAGAGTACACTAATGTGAATTATGAAAACATTCTTATTGTTCAATACTATGTTGTTTCATTGACCGAAATTTCTTTTCTTTTTTTTTTTTAAAGAGATGGAGTCTTACTATGTTGCCAAGCTGGTCTTGAATTCCTGGTCTCAAAAAATATGCTCCCTCTCAGCCTCCTAAAGTGCTGCTGGGATTACACAGGCATGAGCTACCACATCTGGTCTCACTGACCTAATTTTCAATGATTGGATTTTATAGTCATAAGAGAAAAACAAAGACTTGCCTACATTTGGTTATTTCCAAAACTAAGTTGTAAAGACAGCAAACAGTAATCAAATCATATCCAATTCAACAAGTATTTTATATTTGAGATAAATAGTGTTCATTTAATATTAAAACAACAAGCATAAATGTTCAGGGTAGTCTTCAACATTTAAGTATACTTTAGTATAATAAATGCACATTTGAAACTTCAAACAATATGAATTAAAAGAAAATTCTATTTTAGTGGAATACGAGAATACTAAGCCATGCAGTCAAACCAGTTTTTAACCTCTTCCATTTATAGGCCAGAAAACATGAAATTTCATTCAAATTTTAAAATATAAAAAAATGGAAAAAAAAACGTTTAGTATATGGGCCATGAAGTGGGGCACTTAGTCAATTTTAATGTATAGGATTATCATGGGAGAATGTAAATATAATACAAGGAGCATGACTGAAGGAGGGAGTAGATACATTTACAAGTGAAAATATATTTATGGGCCATGTGCAGTGGCTCACGCCTATAATCCCAGTCCTTTGGGAGGCTGAGACAGGTGGATCACTTGAGGTCGGGAGTTCAAGACCAGCCTGATGAACATGGAGAAACCCCGTCTCTAATTAAAAAAAAAAAAAAAAAAAAAAAAAAAAAAAAAAAAAAATTAGGCGGGTGTGGTGGTGCATGCCTGTAGTCCCAGCTACTCGGGAGGCTGAGGCAGGAGAATTGCTTGAACCTGGGAGGCACGGGTTGCGGTAGCCGAGATGCACCATTGCACTCCAGCCTGGGAAGTAAATGACGAAACTCCATCTCAAAAAAAAAAAAAAAAAAAAAAAAAAAAAAAAAAAAAATATATATATATATATATATGTAATATATATGTAATATTATATATAAAATTATATATGTAATATATATTACATATTATATATAATATATACACACATATTTATGAAGCATGATGAACAAAACTATTTTAATAAGATACATAAAACATATCAAATATAACACAAGATCTTATACAATCTTTACAACGACTTTGCATGCAATTATGGTCTGTCATTTCTACCGTTTTTACAGATGGAGAACTAGGCTTGGAAAAGCTAAATCAATTTTTCGCAGTCACACAGCAAGTGAGAGCAAACACAAATAGTTTGGTCTGACTGGAGAAGGGAACACGTGAGTATTAGCAGCTGTAAGGTTTGGCGTTTGAATGCTGGCTTAAGTATGGATTCAGTTTTGCATACTGTGATAAATTATTAAAGCTGTCACTGGCAAGACCACTGTGGCAGCAAATTTTAAGAAGTGGAAGGAAGAATTCGGTTAAGCCAGTGTATCTCAACTTCTGCACTAATGACATTTGGGACCAGGTAATTTTGTATTGTCGGGGGCAGCCGAATAACGGTAGGATGTTTAGCAGCATCCCTGGTGTCTACTCACTAGAAGCCGGTAGCACCAGATTCCTTACCCCCCATTTAAGAACCCCTGAGTTACGCTAAGCCAGAAGGAGGGCATAATGGTGTAAAAGAAGATGCTATCTGTGAGAAAGCAAAGGAAGAAAAAATTTGAAAGTCATTTTGACGGCAGATCTCACGGGATTTCACAATTCATGAAACCTATGGATGAGAAGAGAAAGGTATTAAAACTAGCTTCCTTCTCTGAAATTTTCAAAACCTATGTTATGAATCACAAATAAAATCTTAGATTACAAGTAGAGAATGGTCCTTTTGTTTAAAAAAAGAAAAATCACCATTTCACCAGTCCCTGATGAATCCAGAGGATACTTACATCACCAACTCACCAATAAAATAACTTTCAGATAAAAAGAATAATTTTCACAATAATTTCTGACTAACTTCTATTTTTCTAACGTTAGGCTATGTTTTAATAATTCCTTAACAGACCTAACTAAAATATACATGAAAGTAGTTTTCATACAAAAGATGGCTTTGATACAAATATACCTTTAAATGCAATATTATTATTATTTGAAACAGAGTTTCCCTCTTGTTGCCCAGGCTGGAGGGCAATTGCGAGATCTTGACTCACTGCAGCCTCCACTTCCCGAGTTCAAGCGATTCTCCTACCTCAGCCTCCCGAGTAGCTGAGACTACAGGCGCGCGCCACCATTCCTGGCTAATTTTTTGTATTTTTAGTAGAGACGGGGTTTCACCATGTTGGCCAGGCTGGTCTCGAACTCCTGACCTCAGGTGATCCACCCACCTTGGCCTCCCAAAGTGCTGGGATTACAGGCGTGAGTCACCGCCACCGGCCGCAAAATTATTAAATAGGAACTTTTCCTTATGTCTGACTTCCATGGGCCTGGTAATAAATGAACTATACACAAAGCCAACCACATGCTACACCAGAAAAAACTGATTCCTGTAAAAATTTTGCATCCTTTGTGTAATCCAATTAGTACATGTAGAATTCCAGCATCAGGGAGTACAAGCAAAACAGAAACGTACTGAGGAAACACATAACCTGTTAAGTCCAGTCAAAAAGTATTTGAGGAGTTTAAAGTTTTACGTTGAGTCCTACATAAATTAAGGCTCTCCTCCTTAAAGTTGTTTGTCTTTACTGGGTGTGTAAAAAAAACTTCAAAAAATTAGCCTTTTCTGATTAGAAAAAAATTAATGTTCTAAAAAATATTTTATTTTTTAGAACATTAATTTTAGAAATGAATGTTCTTACATAGTTTCAGTATCAGAGCAAGATAACACATGACATTCAAGCTTAATGTAAAAATAGGCAAGAAAAAAGAATGAGGTTTCTAAGTAAAAGCTCAAAGAAACACCTACAAACACATTCTCTAAGGCTAAAGTGGCTTTTGGATTCCGATGCCTCACGTAGTTTTAAAAACACTTCCCTTCCATCCCCTCCTTAGTTCCTTTAGAGAATTTCCCCCTCTAGCCGTCTATCTAGAACATGATGCTATTAGAGATGTTCAACAAAAGCTGGCATTGGAGATCTTCAAGGAACGAGGGACAGCGCCGGGTGACTAGGGGCCGGAGCGCGGGACAGAGAGACTAGTCGGCCAGAAGGAGGTTTGGTGGCTGCCGGCGGTAACCACGCCAACGCGCGAGCTCTGCGCGGGCTTCACGTCTCATGCGCCGGAGCCTGGCCGGGATCCCGGCGACCTCGGACCGGAAGAAGAAATAAGGTGAAGCGGCTCAAGTCATTCGGCTTGAAACACCAAGGGACTCGGGTGACGCAAAGAAGCGACCACTTCGGTTTGGCTCTCACACATACTTACTTTTTCAACTCAGGAGGGTGAGCTTTGCTCATGGCGTATACTCCGCGGGCTCACAGACGCCTTGGAACTGAATGCACTGCTTCCCTCAAGCTCCCGCGGTAGGCCCGGCGTCTTGCGTTTGGCGTCATCGACCTAGTTAGCCAATCGATTGTTGGCAGTTTTTAACACTTCACCTCGCGATATCTGAGCGCCTCGGTCATTGCTGAGCTTCCGGTTGCGTCGTCAGCGATTGGCCAGGACAGAGGGGTGGGCCTTCTAGGCACCTTTCTAAATTCGGTTTTCCGTGTGCAAAATTGAGATAACGGGTATTCTGACGATGGAGTATCCGTGTTCTTGTCTATGGAACAGCCAAAAAAAAAAAAAAAAAAAAAAAAAAAGCCCGGCGCCGTAAATCCCAGAACTTTGGATCTCTTGAGCCCAGGAGTTCGAGACCAGCTTGGGCAACATAGCGAGACCCCTCCTCTATTTAAAAAATAAAATTGAAATACTGAGATAACAGTCCCCTCTCTAACTTCTGGGCAAACCCGGCAAATCCCGCATGTCTGTGGATCGTATCGCTTGTTTTCTTCATATATACCAAAATACCAAATAATGATCCCTGGAGGAATGGGCCTCTATATTTCTTTCTTTTTTTTTTTTTTTTTTTGAGACAGTCTCGCTCTGCCCCCAGGCTGGAGTGCAGTGGCTCCGTCTCGACTCACTGCAAGCTCCGCCTCCTGAGTTCACGCCATTCTCCTGCCTCAGGACCTCCTGAGTAGATGGGACTACAGATGTACGCCGCCACGCCCGGCTAATATTTTGTATTTTTAGTAAAAATGGGGTTTCACTGTGTTAGCTGGGATGGTCTGGATCTCCTGACCTCGTGATCCGCCCGCCTCGGCCTCCCAAAGTGCCAGGATTACAGGCGTGAGCCACCCGCGCCCGGCCGGGCCTCTATATTTCTTTGGCAGGTATCCTACAGCATACTTTCAGACCAAGTAGGGTTCCGGTAACATGCAAATTAGCAGCCTCTGCACCATTGGAGAGTAAGGTGACTGGGCCTGTCTCCAAGAATTTCAATCTATTTCCGACTGACGGGTCTTGCAAAAAAAATTTTTTTTTGTTTTGAGATGAGGTCTTGCTCTGTCACCCAGGCTGGGATGCATGATGTGACCATGGCTCACTGCAACCTCGTACCCCTGGCCTCAATCAATCCTCCCACCTCAGCCTCCTGAGTTGTTTAGACTACAGGCGCAAGCCACTGTACCCAGCTAATTTTTTTTTTTTTTTGTAGAGACGACGTCTTGCTTTGTTGCCCAGGCTGTTCTCGAATTCCTGGCCTTAAGAGATCCGCCTGCCTCCAGCTCCCAGAGTGCATGAGCCAGCATGCCTGGCAGTTCTGCAATTTTTCAAACATTACCTCCAGAACTCACTGATGTGCCATTGCCCCGTATATAAAACGTGAAGTGCAGCACACAAACATTCTCTAATACAAGGTATTCCTTTTTCATGTCAAGATGTGTAAAAAGTGGCCTCGGACTTGTTCCCAGTTATGTTACCCCAAAATAGGAGAATGCACGGATTATAGAAGACTAAACCGAAATAAAATGCCGTGTTGATTTTAAATAGGGGATGGTTCTCAAAAATTCAGTTAATTCCTGATATTCTGGAATGGCTCTATTTAAATACCAATGATAGTAAAGACTTAAACTCATCACATATTTTGCACTCTCTTAGTACTCAAAATCTTAGACACTCTATTTTTTTCTAGCAGGGTCATAGCTTTGTACCTTTACTACCACTTGCTATTAGTGTTTAGTTGAAGCTAGAGACTGACATAGATAATGAATTTCTCTTTTTAGCCTCATAGATAGTTTCTTTTCTACATTAATGAACTTTAAGTCACAATGTCCTAGTCTCCTCTCAAAGTTTTTCCCATTTACAATGAACCAGTTCTGAATCTGAACCATAACAACTAATTTCTGCTCTTCTGGACATTTTAAACTCATTTAACCTTTTAAAAGGAGAAGCATCCTGAGAAAGTTATATATTCACTGCCCAGATATAAGGAAAGAAAACACAATAGTGGGGAGAAAATTAAACCTTATTTATTTTTAAAACCAAACCACTAAGAAAATATGTCACAGCCTAGAAACAGCAAATGGACAGGCTATAATTTCAAGTAATAAGTTGGTGAAAATACAACGAAGTTGCTATCAAAACAGTAAGTTGCCACGCCAGGGCAGGAACACTGCCAGCTGCACAAGCCCCAGGCAAAAATGGTATTTGGTAATGGGGGCTGCCTCTCCTTTGCTCTAAGGGAGTCAGCTCATCCTAGCCCAAGTTGCTTACTTTTTCTCCCTTGAATTCCTATTGTCAGGGGTTTGTCTCAGTTGGGCTCTGTTAATTCAGGGGGCTAAGTAGGCAATGCTAGGTTTAGGCGTTCATTCCATCTGTTCTAATAAAACCAGGTTTTTCCAAATCCAGTACTTCATTACTCTGTTATAATCAAGTAGCCAACTGCTCCTCTTTTACTGTTCATTCCTAGATACTAGTATATATCACAATCAAAACCCCCTTCTCTTGAAGGGAAAAGTGTTACTGCAGGATTGTCCTGTCATTTTGCTATACACAGCCTCAGGGGCCATCAGCCAGTAATTCTGCTTCCCATAATTAGTGTCATCACCTCTCATGTTTCTGCATGGTCTCCAGGCTGAAAGATGCAGCATGTAATAACTTTAAGAAACATACATCCACATCTTGATGACCAGAAATGGGGATCCATAAGGAACCTTTCAAAGTTCTTATCCAAACTAGTCTCCCTCCCAATTCCACATCTTAAGATCAACTTGTATGTCCTTGTATAAATTACCCAAAACCTACAAAACAAAGACCCAGAAAACTTTCTTTCCCTTCTAAGTTAGTGACCTCATTGATTTTGTTTCACAGCTTATGGAAAATGGTATGGTGACACTTCTGGTAAACAGGATGTTGGCAACAAAGAGAAAATATGTCTTCTCAGACTCCACCAACTCTAACCTGCCAGCCCGTTAGTACCTGTGTAGTAAGAAGAGTCTGGTACCTTGGAAGGCTCTGGCTTGTTACAGGACAAGCGCTGGCCACAGGAAATAATAAGCTCTAAAACTCTCCTGTAATCTCTCTGACCCGATTTAGCACCACTTTTTTCCATTTCATTTTTTTTAGGACTGAAACATAAAATAACCAGTGTCCAGAGGCAAGTGACATATGCCTTACACTTGTGGCCATCTTTCATTTCTTCATTTGTAAACCTTGCTTAAAAGACTAAAATTCCCAATTCCTTATAAAAAATATATTCTTGCCCTCAGCCCCGATGGCCACTGGCAAAGACTTTTATTTCCCAATGGATAAGAGAGCCTCCTTCATCTTCTTGGTCATAGTTGGGATGAGGTGCATGTGGTCATCCACACACTTGGTCACACAACTGTCCAGCTGCTGCTTCACCTGAAGCTCCTTACTCCCAGCATCTATTGAATCTTTGGCTTTGTCGTTGCAATGCATGGTGCACCGGGCCAGGCGGTCCTGTGGCAAGAAGGAAGAAGACAGAAAAAGCTGAGAGTAAGGCCTCCATCTACTTACTGTGTGCTCGTTATGTGTTAGGCCCTGTGGTACAGGTTTAATATGTATTATCTTGGTCAATTAAAGGGACACGGTAGTGTGATTGGCCAAGGTTTTGTTTTTGAGACAGAGTCTCACTTTGTTGCCCAGGCTGGAGTGCTGCGCTGCAGTGGCACAATTATGGCTTTTGCAGACTCAACATCCGAGGCTAACACTATCTTTCCACCTCCGCTCTCAAGTAGCTAGGACCACAGGCACAAGCCCCCACTCTTGGCTAATATTTTCTTAGAAATTATTTTTGTAGAGATGGGATCTCCCTATGTTGCCCAGGCTGGTTTCGAACTCCTGGGCTCAAGTGATCCTCCCTCCTCGGCCTCCCAGAATGTTGGGATTATAGGTGTGAACCACTGTGTTTGGCTTTCCGAGACTGTCTTGACTCAAACAGAAGATGGCACCAGGAGGGCTCCAACTATTACTAGAAAGCAAGTGAATGACAGAATAAATTGTACAGAACATTCTTCCAGGAAATGAGAGGTCCCTAGACGTTATTGTAAGACTTACAAACACCTTCTTTTTTTTTTTTTTTTTTTTTTTAGACGGAGTTTCGCTCTTGTTGCCTGAGCGGGAGTGCAATGGCATGATCTCGGCTCACCACAACCTCCGCCTCCCAGGTTCAAGTGATTCTCCTGCCTCGCCCTCCTGAGTAGCTGGGATTACAGGCATGCGCCACCATGCCCGGCTAATTTTGTATTTTTAGTAGAGAGGGGGTTTCTCTATGTTGGTTAGGCCGGTCTCAAACTCTTGACCTCAGGTGATCCGCCTGCCTCAGCCTCCCAAAGTGCTGGGATTACAGGTGTGAGACACCACGCCCGGTCTAAAGTCTGTTCTTTCTACAGGAAAACATTCAATTCAACAAATATTTATTGAGCATCTACTATGTGCCAGGCACTCTTTTAATGTTAGGGAATAGAGCAGTGAGTAAAACAAAGTTCTTACCCTTACAGAACTTATATTCCAGTGAGAGGAAAGAGGCAAAGTAAATGGAGATGTTGAGGAATTAGTTGGATATGTGAATGTGGAGTTTATGAGTGAGGTCTGGCCTATAGATATAAATGCAGGAGTTGTCAGCATAGAGATTATATTTACAGCTATGAGGCTAGAGGAGACTAGAGAAGTAGTCAGAAAGGAGAAAAGAAACAAGGACAGCCCTGGGCATTCTGATGCTCAGAGGCTGGAGCGGGGAAGAGATAGCAAAGGAGGGTAAGAAAGGGAGGCTAAGGAAGGAGGCAGAAAACAAGGCGAGTGAGACATCCTGGTGACCAACTGAATAAAGTGCTTTAAGAAGGAGAGGGATCCATTGTGTCAATGATGCAGACAGAGTAAGATGAAGACTGAGAAATGACCCCCGGATTCGGCCCCATGGAAGTGAGTGGCAGGAGCAGTTCTGGTCCAGTGAAGAGTGGAAGTCCACTTGGAGAGGACTAAAAAGATAATGCAAGGAGAGTTATAGAGCAATCCAAGAATCAAATTT